CCCCAAAACCCCAAAACCCCAAAACCCCAAAACCCCTTTGGAGAATATTAATATTGAATCATGATCAAATTAAGCTTAATAGAGAATTAAAGTTGGCAATATGAATCCATGCAAACTTCAAAGACTTAAGGATCATAACAAAATATTTTACTCCTCTAAGAAGCTCCAACCTTGGTGCTACAAAATTACAGATAAGTTTTCTGGCGTAGCCTATCTAATTGCTTATAATTGATATGCTTTCTCTTTTTCTCAGGATTGACAAATACAAGCTCTTCCTTAATCTTCTCACTTTGAGCATCCATTTCCAACGAAGTTAATTTCCTAAACTCATTTCCTTCATGCTTCGGGCTAACCACCGAAGAGGGTCTGAAATTCTCAAACTTGCTATCTTCACTCTCCTCAGTCTCTGCTGGATAATTTATAGAAGTATTAGATTTATTTATTTATCTCTTTCTTACTATAATCCTTCCCTACACCCAAATACTGCATGCCTCCTTTCTCCTTACTCTCCTCTTTACTCTCCTCCTTACTCTTCTCTATCAACTCCTCCTCACTACTCTGGTCTTCACTTCCCACCTATTTCACCCGCATAAATCCTCTCAAAACCCCCAAAATCCAGTACAAAAACTTACTTCTCACTTAGCATCATAGAATATAGCACTTCCTTCGATGAGAGTTCCTCGGTCTTCGATGAAGGTGGCTTTGGGGTTCTTTTGGTCGAGAGAGGGCTCGTCGTTAGAGGGGTTGTAGTTGAATTGGTCACTCTGGCCAGGTAAGGAGTGGAATTCGTCATTGTTGGTATCAGAGAGGGGGTTAGAAGAGGGGTTGTTGCTTCTGAGTCTATGAGGGGTTATAGAGCCGTATTTATTGTCGTTGCTAACTGCGATCATGTCGTCGACTTTGTCCAGAAGTTCAGAGCCCATTAGAGAAGACGATCTACCTTTGGGTTGTAGGATAGAATCGAATTTTATCTCTTCCATATCAGAACTACTTTCTTGTAATTTTTGTGAAAGGTTCATGACCTGGTTGCCAGTTTGGAAAATAATCGGTATACTCCAGAAGAAATATTTGTCCTTTTTCTTTGCAACTCCACATTCAATATATTTCCCATGATTAGTGGCGAGCATGAGATAGGTTATTACCCCCTTCTTATGTCTTCCTTCTATGTAATTTACCCTCTCTTTGCAGTCAAGCTCATTTTCACAGTCAATTTTGCCATTGAGTTTAAGCTCAACTTTGAAAGTAGGGTCATCCATGCCTAGATAGCTTGAAAATTTCCGACCCTTTTGACCTATTAGTGGAATTATAACAAATTTCATAATCTTAGCCATTTTGAAAGCTCCCTAACTAAAATTTGAGGAATCATACTCCTTCACTACCAAATTATTAGGCTTGTCAAGCAGGACAAACAGTATTCGGAGTTAAGACCTTTGGAAGATTATTGACATACCTTTAGGCACCTTCATTTTATTTGCAACACTAGACTTTAGAGTAATAGATTTGACCGATTCATGACAAAGAGCTTCCTTTTCAAAGTTTAAGTGCTCATAAGTCATTTCTCCGATGACTATTATCTTTTTAGAATTGTCTTCCATTTTGAAATATTATTATTCAATCGAATATAGGATAAGAGGGGTTTTGGGGTTTTGGGGTTTTGGGG